GAAATCGAGATAATTTGTCCAATCTTTCGGCTTTGGTATTGGATATATGTGTCCTCTGCTCCATTCACTTGAAGTATTTCCTTGCTTAATGATGATATTGAAAATCTGTCATAATTCCTCCTTGATTTTTGTTTCCATGTGTTTGTAGGCTATGTAGGGGATTTGGTTAGGGCCTGGAGTGGACTTAGGACTATGTTGTTGGATTGTTGACTTCAGCTTTTGCATAGAGATCTCCTCAGTGAGGTCTTTGTATATGTATTGTTTGATGTTTGGCTTTGATCTGTATTCTTTTTATCAGTGCGGATGGTTTTCAAGGTTCTGGGTATGGTCCAGTTGTAGAAGTGTTCTCTTGTTCTTTGTTTGATTTCTTCGGGGTCGGTGACTATTTGGACTGTATCTTTCTATTATATAATTAACTTATTAAGGTGTATATGTCTTCTAGGTCTTTTTATGATACTGTTTATCATTGCTCTCTTGTCGTTATTGTGGTATTCTTGTCTAATTTGGATTCTTTTTTTAATTGCAATATTTTGTCTTTTGTGGATTATGGCTTTGGCTACCGTTTTGTGGACTTTTATATTGTTGTGTGTTGTTTAAATCCATTTATCAATATAAGAGGTGGGATGGAGGCTCTGAGGTTATTTAGGTGTACTGTCATGTCAGGGAGACTGTTTTGAATGTCTTGGGGAATGGTGGAGTGTGTAGTGTGTTGCTCTTGGCTGACTTCTCACTTTCCTTTTTGAGTTGTGTTTTGAAGTGCTGAAGTTGGATAATAAAGGGCTCTGCTTCTGCATAGTATAATTGTTGTCTGTTTTTGCGATGTGTCTTCTTTCTTCGAATATGTTGTTTAGCTACTTTCTGAATGATATTATAGAAACTGTTCCACCTTTGATTTATTGATTGATTGTTACTTCTCATGTTTTATTGCTAAATTTCTTGTTCAATCTGTTCACTAAAATTTTTCTATTGTTTTGAAATTGTGAGTTGCCAATTGTACCTATGGTTGGGTTTATGGATCAATATTTTCTTGAATTTGTCTATGCTCCAGACTTCTATTTCAGTTATCATAGGAATGTGATTGCTTTGAATTAGGGGGTTAGAGCATTTTTCAATTGACACACTTCTTGACTGCCAGGTTGCCATGGGGTTGATCTATATTTGATCTATTCTACTACTTCTGGCCCCTCTGTTCCAGGTGTACTCTCTGGTCACAGGATTGTATATTCTGTAAGTATCCTCCAGTCCATTGTTGATCAGTGTCAGAATTTGTTTGTCTGAGAGGGTGCAGTGTCTGGGCTTCTCTTTGGGGCACATCTGTCTATAGCTGGGTTGGGTACACCATTTAAATCACCCATTACGATCAGGTGCCAGCCGTTTGCTATTGCTTCTGTTATCCATTTGGTGAGGATATTCGTTACAATAATTTTTTCCCAGTTAATATCCTGTACCGGGAAGTAGACACCTATTATTCACTTTTTTTTTTATGTGGAAAAGTTAGGTCTGTAGTGATAAATCTGCCTGCTAGGGTTTTGTATTTGTATATCTAGTGTGCAATGTCTTTATTTATCATTATGTTGAGACCTTGTCCTAGCATTTGTGATTCTTTATGTGTACAGATAGTCTGATATTTCTCATGTCTCCAATGCTTTGAAAGATGATGTGATCCGTTGGTTTCTGTAGTAACTATTATGTCCCAGGTCATTACTGCACAGAAATTGAACCAGGTGTCTCTTTTGTATAGTTCAGATATACCTTGTATATTAAAGATTGAGAGTTTCCATATAGGTTTGTGCTCAGTAGGACTATTCTGGATATTGTGTATTATATTGTGTGTCTTATCTATATTGTTTCTGTTACTGTTTGTGTTCTTATTATGTGTTTCTTGAGGGAGATTATGACTATGATGATCTTCTGTATCAATATTTTGTGTTTTGCGATTCTCTTGATTGTTAGCTGTAGCTTTGTTGAAGTTGTTAGTGCTATTGTGATTCTCCATGTTTATAAATATTGATTGTTGTATGGTGTGTTTCCTCTATTATTGGGAATGAGATCTGAGATAGTGTTGACTAGGACGGTCATTGTTCTAGCCATGTTGCCTATCGATATTTGCAGTTGGTACTGTTGCTGTTAGATGTTGTCCATCTGACTGACTGTATGTTCTAAGCTGTTAGTGTCCTGGGTTTCTTGTGGATCTTCATCCATGTTGGAGTTGTAATTCTCATCCCAGTTTTCTAAGTTTACAATTCTTTCATAAATTCTTCTTTAATTTCTTGTATGTTGTGAAGAATTTGACGAAGAGTTTCTTCTAGACTGCTGGATGTTGAAGCGGGTCTTGCTTTGGGTCTGGCTACTACTGCATAGGAGCCCGGGCATGTGGGTTTTGTATTATTTTTTCTTTCCACTAGTCTCCTGATGCTTGTAGTTTTAGCAGGTTTGAAATGTGTGTACAGTTGGCCAAATCTCTCTGCTTGTTCTTGTTTGTAGTTTCGCCATTGTTGTCTTCTTACTTTGATATGACAGTCTTTTGCCAGATGTGAAGTGGTATTACAAATGGCACATAATTTGGTGTCTATTGGCTGTCATTCGATGATTGTTTCTCCAAGGGTGTAGTTTGTTGTGGTAGCTAGTTGCATGTCTTGCTCATTTTCGAAACTGATTACAGTATAGCATTTACATTTGTAGTTCATTCTTCGGGAAATATAGCATGTTTTGCTTCTCGCTTGTTGATATATGTGTCTCAGGTCAAATGCGTTCATGTCTGGGAAAAGTTTGGTAAGTTTGAGGAAGAAACTGCCTCTATCTTTCATTTGTTGGAGAGACCATTCTGAGTCAAAGATCCTGAGTGAATCTGCCTTACACTGGATGCTTCAATTTTCCAGGAGCTTGCACTTGTCTGAGTTATCTGTATACATAATGGTGACTGACTGCCACATATGCTATGTTGCAATTGAGATATTGCTGATCTGGTCAAATTTTGCGAAGGTCTATTATATGTTATGGAAGGTTGTGTCCAGGAGGATATCCCAGACTGTGACACTGTTAACCTTGTTGATTATGTTTCTCGTGTCTGGCATGTGTTCCAGTGTTAGGTTGTCCGTTTCTGGTAGTGTATGCTGCTGATGTTCTCGGCTGATTGTGGATCACTAAAAAGGGCAATGATGAACTTCTGATTATTGGATCTTTCGCTGCGGATACTGATCAGGCCTTCAGGGGAGTTCAGAGCTTTGAATAGATAAGTTATCTTGTAATGTGTAAGTTTGCCGAGGATTTTATCAGCCTGTATGCTGAGTTTAGTTCTCTTGTGTCTGTATCTCGCACTTCTGTCAAAAGGGGACCTTGGGCAGGGTTTGCTGTTTTGGAAGTATGTTTCTACTTTTTCCTTGATTTTCCCTTTATTTTATTGGGAGGTCCAGTCTTCATGCCATTCGACTGCATCTCTCATTACTTCAAGTTGGCTGGTCTTGTTTTCATTTTTCAGCCTCATTTCTGTATCCGAGTTTATCGGGTTTGTGGCTGTTCGTATGGTGTAAGGTTGGGTCTAGAGTTCTTTTTCCATTGCGCAGGATGCGGCTGTGCCTGTGCCATTTTTTGCTGAGTCAGTTTCCTTTTCGAAGCTATCACTCTAGGATGATGAGCTGGAGTCATCCGTTCTTGTGAGGGCTTGGGAACCGCAGGCTCGATGTTGTTGTGTTTGAAAGGAGGTGGGTTCCAAATTTGCCAGGCTTTCCTTCATCAGTCTTGCAGTTTTTTCCACGATGTTGAGTTTCTTTTCTGTTGTTGTCTGTTTGGGTTTGACTTTGGGGCTGACCGGGCTCTTTGCTAGGGCTTCTTCATTGTAGTTTGGGCAGGAGGTTGCATTGTGGCTGCGAAGCGTTCTTCGTGAGTACATTCTTTCTCGCTTTTGTCTGGGGGTCAGTGGGAGTGTTTTGCTGTGCCATCAATGTGCAGGAAAGAGTGTGATAATATAGCTAGTCAAGTAAAAAACTTGAATTGTGTAATAGTAGATAAAAGTTTTATATAAATGTTGTCAAAAGAATAAATATATGTGTATCAGATAGTAAAGATTGATTTTTTGATGGTAGTATATTTAAAATGAAAGATAAAAGCAGAAAGAGTTTGATTAAAAAAATATTAGATTACAAAAGTGTAAGAAGTAGCAACGAATTCAACTTTGAATCAATTCCAAAAGTTTTTAAAAATAGGATAAGGTTCCTAGGGTGAGCAGCAAATTAAACAAGAGTTGTCAATATAAGAAGAATAAATTTGATTGATGTTGGTATTTGAATATGTTTTGTGGAAAGTATCATGTATACTATTAGTAATGAAGTGGTTTTTTAAACTATTTATATAACAAAATTCAAACTCTTTGCTAGACTTTGGATTCTCGAATTACTTGGTAAGTGAATATCTCCAATACTGAGCAAGGCTTCCTGATTGTTTCCAGAAAATAATTTATAGAGTAGTGAATCTCACAGTCACCATCAATTTGTCAACCTATCTAATAATTTTCAAATCAGATAGATAGACGGGACAACTATAATAGTAATCCACTTTAAGTTGAGGAAGAATACCTCAGTCATGATATATGAAAGTTGATAATTCAAGAATAGTAGAGATTATACAAACACGTTTAAAGAGGCTTTAGGTGATTTAGTTTAATTAAAAGGTTTATTAGAAATATATAATGTCAAGGATAAGAGAATTCAGTAGGTAAAATCTTGGGTCAACTGCTTTGGACAGCTGGCCTTTATTTGATAACCAAAGTGACCAAAGTGACCAAATCTACCAGATTTGTCAAATTAGGTCCATATGTCAGATCTGTTCACTTGAGTAACTTGCTAACTAAATATAGATAAGATATAATAAAAGAATAAAGAAATTAAATAATATATGTTACGATAAATCAATAAATAATATGAAAACTCTTTTGCTAATCCTCTGACCACACACAAAAAAGATGTTCACAAGAAATTTTTATACTTTTTTGCTAATAAAGTCTTAATACTTTCATTAAAATAACTTGAAGTATGACTTCAAGAGTCACTTCTACCTTTTCTCTTTTGTTTGCAAACTTTTTTCACTCAAAAATTTGACTTCAAGTGACCAAGAAAAGTCAAGTAATACCTTTGGTACCAATGGCAAGAAAGTTTCCAAAGGAAGAAGAATTAACTGTGAAGTACCTGAAGGCCTATTTAATCTTTGAAGTAAGAGATATATATAGGTTTTTGATAACAGAAGGGCTTATTTTTCCTTTTCTAGTCACTGTTGAGCTCTTAGAGCTATTACTTTCATGGTTTTCTGGAAAATTTTGCCTATTTCAATTTGACCCTAAATTTTTGATAGCACAAATCCTCATCAAAGATGATTGGCTGATATAAAACACATTAGTTTTTAGAACATAAACAAACTTCTATTGATTAAATTCACATGTTTTGATGATATCATTGATAATTGAAAAGAAGGTTCTGGAAACATTTGCTCTCAAAAAGCTCAAGTCCTTCAATAAAAACTTTCATGATACCAAAAGACCAAGTAATGGGTAATATGAATTGTAAACTTTTATCCTTATCTAAGTTCTTCAAGTAGTGACAAAGCTTTAATTAAAAAAAGCTGAGGTCTAAATGTTTTCCTTGAGATATTCCAATCTAGTGCTTACTTAAATGAAAGACCAGTTGGATTGACTCATCCAATACTACAGATGATGAAAAAGAAGATTTCTTCTGAGTTTAAAATGAAGCAAGAAGACTATCCCAATCAGGTAGATCCCTTTTGAGAAAAGATTGTTTTATTTTTGAATTTTTTGATAGGCCTTGAATTGTTTCTTTTCCCCAATCATTTTTCCCCTTTCCTCTTTTTAACTTAGCAATTTATTGATTTTTGGGCAATCAACAGTAACAAACTATTGACAATGATTCTAATAGATAGAGGTTATTACCAATCTATTAGGGGAGTGAAATATTGTTCTCAAAATCTGATTTAAAGTACTTTTGTATAAAAACGGGTTAGTCACTTTGTGAAAGTCTGTAAAATATTGTAAATTTATTTCAAATTTTCAATAAAAACATGCTATTGTAGCATAATTGCAGGTTAAAAAAAAAATAATAATAATAATACATATTACGTAAATCACTACTTTGACCTAATGATTGGATCTACACTAAAAATCAATGAGACATACCTTGCATTACATGTGTCATATGATTTAAAAATAGAACTAAAGTAACACAATAAACAAGAACTATAGATAATAATTAAAGAAAAATATAGTTAACAATTAAGGTTAACAATATGAATATAAAGTGAAAACACATAAACAAGTTATTTATTAAACATATAAGTGGATTGCTATTCAAACTGACAGATGTGATTTGTTCACATTATGTAATCCAAGATATGAAGTATTATTGTATTGTTTATATCACTTTCTACTGTTAAATAATTGAGGCTTGAACATCCTCCTAGGTGTTGTGGACTCTGAGATTTAACTGATTTATTGAATAAAGTTATTGCCTATAATGCTTCTCTTAATATTAAGAAAGGTATTAATCTATACTGACCTGGTTAAGAGCTTTGTGTAGTTGAGATTGAGCCTCCAGAAACTTACTGGAAATCAGTTTTTTTGAGATTTTCTTTTCTCTATAAAGAAAAACTATACTGTAATAGTTTTTCTCTAATACTTATACTGGGTTTTTTTTTTTAATACTAGTACAACCAAGTTTTATTTGAATATAGTAGATATTACATATATAATGTAGATAAGCTACTATTGTTTCCAAGTAAAACTTTGATAAGAAAAAACCTACCTCATGGCAGTGCCACTCTTTCTTAAAAACAAAGGGGATAGTAAGGGGGTCTACTAGTATAAAAAATTAAAAAAGAATCTATATTATTTGTGTTTGAATCAATGTGTTTCTCAGATTTAAATCTGATAATGATAGTATCTATTCAACTATTATAATTCTATCTTTCAGGCTATCTTATAACTATAAACAAAGACTATACAAGATTAAGTAAAGGAGAAGACTTTGCATACAACTAAGAAAGTACTGATGAAAAAGATGAGTTGGTCTTGATATGAAGTGATTTGAAAGCCATGCTACTACTATCACTTTTGTACCATCAGCTAATTACTCTTCAAGAGTTTTATTAGTTCAGGTCATAATGCCTTTTCTTTAGTTGCTTTCAGTACAGCCATATTGTGATTTCTTGTCTTCCAGCTCCAGTCCTTTCTTTTGATTTTTACCTTACCCTATCTAGTATGGACCTCTGTCGATATTCTTTCAGGTAATAATAAGTTAGGGAATTGCAATGGGGTTCTAGGACATAGGGGAGAAGTAGCTCAATAATGCTGTCAGGGTGTCTTCTCTTAGGCTGTGTAAACACTAGGGGGAGGGACCCGTCATCCAATAATCTGTTCTTCTTTATCATTATGATGATTCTATCCTAGAAAAGAAAGTCTTAACACGTCTAGCTTGTGCTTTATTGAATTTGATAAATATTATGTTGTTTTTCCCAGAGTACTACCATCTTAAGAGATTGAGTCATGGTCCTTTTTTTTTCAGACTGCACATTGGTTCTGCCTTTTGATTAGTATGAATTATAAATCTCCTAGTCTATCAATTTAATGCTTTTAAAAGATAAATATGATACTTCTTAGGTATTATTCTCTTTCTATTTACCCTTGAGTCTTGTTGTGAATATAGCTTCACTTGATAGATTCATATAATATATTGTTGGGTTTCTTTCTTGATCAAGGTACTGATATAAGAGAAATTGTGTCCTATATTCACCTGCATCACATTACTAATGTCTTATAGTGGACCCAGGTTCTTATGGTGCTATGGAAATGTATTCAGATACATGAGATAACCAATAGGAGCTTGTTTATATTCTTTTACAGACATGTTTTCTACTAGCCAATTATTGCTTGAGAAACTTTGTGCTACTCAAAATTCAGGATTAAACTAAGGTAGACAAAATTCACCAGAAAGAACCAAGAAAGAGTACTCTTAGAGTCAAATATATGACAAGAAAGTGGGTGGTTGCCTTCAAGATAAGTCTCTCATCATAGAAGAGACTCTGTATTGTTTCTCTAGTACAGTATATGAATAGATGGTAGCACTTCAGTTCTTCTTCCTTTCAGAACTTTCTTGCATTGGTAGAAAAGGTGAGTTCATGACTTCAATTACTAAAAGTTAGATTTTTATTTGAAGAAAATGTTTACAAGAGGAAAGTGAAAGTAAAGATTACTCTTGAAATATTATTTCAAGTTGGTTTAAAGAGAGTGGTAAGACTTTATTAGTCAAGAAATATAAAAATTTCTTGTGAACATCTTTTTTGTATGTGGTCAGAGGATCAGTGAAAAGAGTTTATCAGTAGGTCAATCTATGTCTAATACTTATATTGTAATTATTATTACAAAGATATATAGAAGTTTTGAAGCTTGCTAACAAGCTATTGTTGTTTTTAGACTATATGCTTCTTAGATATTGAAGGCTGGCTTCTTAGTTTCCAAAAATATTATCAAAAAAATTTTTTTAAGAAAACTGGAAATTAGCAGAGGAAGTTTTTTTTTATATTAGAGACAAGTAAGTTTTTTTTTTAATTAAAATTATATTAAATAAAATAATAAAAATATAAAATAAATATAAGATAGAACTTAAATAGGAGGAAAATAGCTGGACCAAAGTTATATATAACTATTACTTATACTTTAGATTCTACCTTATATTTTGATTTATATACTATATATGCTTGAAATTAAAAATTTAAAAATTTTAACAACTAGTAATTGAAATTAAAAATTTTTTTTTCATTGATAGCTTAAAATTAAAGTTTTAAAATTACTATATTTTGATTTAATTTTACCTTAAATTAATAAAATTATTGGTTTTAAAAAATTGGTATTAAAAATAAAATTAAAAAATTAAAATTTTTA